TAACCTTGTTGCTAAAGAGGTCTTGGGATTCCTCTTTGTTGTGTTCTTTGGAGAATGTAGACGCAACAAGTGTGACCATTTTTGGGCAGTCTTTTACAATAAAATCATTTAAATCTGGAAGCTCAAGACTATGACTTCCCACATAGAAACTTGTCAAATCTAAGCAAGACTCTAAATTGATCAACCAAAGATGTGGGAATTCCATTTTATATTTTGCTCCTTCTCCCATTATCACTTGTTCCATTGTTCCACAATTTTTAACTATTAACTGCAAGAGTTGCACGAGGCCCAAGGCCATTGAATTCGTTAATAGGTACCTGAACTTGCTACAATTACAAATTTTTAGCACCTGAAGTTGTCTAAAATCTAAGAGTTCTTGAGGATTCTTGATATGCCATGTTTCCATCAACTTGGGAAAATTTGATAGCACCAAACGTTGTAACCTAGCAAATCCAACCTACGCAAGTGCAAAAAAAAAAAAAAGAAGCTAGTTATATATAACACAATCCAAAAATAAATCAAATAATTTTTTATAAAAAGAATGAGTGGCTTCAAAAATATCTAGAAATCAATTCATACCTCGTCCATATACATTCTTCGTATGGTGGCATTAAGGTCACCTTCCCAACGCCACTTGTCCTCTCCTTCAATTGATTCTACTCTCTGCAGTAGTGGTGTGCTTATGTCACCCTTATTGAAGATCATCAATTTGGGGCACTGAATCATAATTACCTTTTTCAAAGATGGAAATTTGAAGGTGAAATTCCCTGAACAAAAGCTTTCTAATCTTAGCAGGCATTTAAGTTTCAGAAATCTTAATTTAGTAAAAGTGATTATGATTAAATCTTGGGTTCCATTTCCTTCATTTCCAACTATTTCAGTCAGCACGTCACACCGTGACACAATCAGTCTTTCTAACCGCACCAGACTTTGGGCTATTGAAATGGAAACCAAGTTTACCATTGCTTCACACCTGCTTATATTCAAAGTTACGAGATTCCGAAAAAAGGCAGGTGATGTTGACAAGCTAATCAAACTCTCACATCTAAAAACTTTAAGAGTTCCAAGATTTTGAAGAACAATTGACGAGTCATGGCTCCATATATGCCTGAGATATGGAAGGATCTTTAGATTTAATGTTTTAATCCTTGAGAATATCTCAATTTCAATGTGTTTCTCTTGTTCTTCAACTTCTCCTTTTGAAGGGAACAGTTCTTCAAAATTACAAAACTCCACAACAAGCTCTTCTAGATGGCAGAATCTTTGTAGTAAGCTCATGGGTAAAACATCTAATTCATTATCAAGATACTCATGAATCTTAAGCACTTTGACATTGAAAAAGAGGTCTTCTTTAAATTGGTGTTCACATATCACTGCAATATCATGTCTTGATAGTGACAATTTTTCCAACGAAGGGATGACCTGGAAAGGAATTCAATGCAATAAAACTTT